AAATGTACGAATCTCAAAAGTTGTGTTTTTCATGATTTCCCTGACTGTGGTCACACTGACGAGTGAGACATGCTGGTGAAACAAGGCCACTTAAGAGCTGCCTCTGCTCCAATCCAAGTCCTCTCCGCAGCCACCAGCCCGTGGTTTTTGGATCTCTGTGCGGGGAACGTGGCAGATCCCGTGCGCTTCCCAGACAGGTTCCCAGGAGGCTGGAAATGACGGAGCTCCAGACAAACAAATGAGTCTTTAAAACACCTGCGGCTTTGCTCCGAGCCCAGATCTGCCAGACTTGGATGCAAGGATTATTCTTGGAGGGAGAGCAGAAGGGAGCTTCCAAAGCCACTTTGGAGAGGACGGATGAGATTGTTTTGTTCTGGTTAACCCCTCGTTCTGGAAGATAAATGCACGCACGGGCAGAATTGTGCCCTGTAAAACTACTGGGCTTTTGCGTAAGACTTTTGAATGTGCCGTGTTGTAACTTACCCTCCAGTTTACTTGGTAGCTGTTTATCTGTACAAGAGGAATAACCAAGGAATTATCCTCTGCTGGAGACTCCTGTAATCACTGCCTGTATCTCCTAGCTTACTCGGGGTGAGCTGCTTTTTCGGAGACAGAGGGAAGACCACATGAACAAGATGCGTTTTTCAGCTAGTCCTGCCCGTGTATATGATCAATAAATTCTTGGCTAGCAAGCACTGCTCTTTTTGGCAAAATTGTGTATGAGCAAGGTACATGACTTAATTTTGTCTTTCAAGACAGCCAGGTGAAACCTACTGTTGATAGTGGCCTCTTGCTTTTGGAAGTCGTTGCTGCTCTTCTGTTTATTATAGAATCATAGAATCGTCTGGTTGGAAGAGACCTTCAAGATCATCGAGTCCAACCACTCACCCTGCACTGTCAGGGTCCCCAAACCGTGTTCCTCAACACCAAATCCACACGGTTTTTAAACACCTCCAGGGATGGGGACTCCACCACCTCCCTGGGCAGCCTGTTCCAATACTTCACAACCCTCTCTGGAAAGAAATTCTTCCTGATATCTAACCTAAATTTCCCCTGGCGTAACTTGAGGCCGTTCCCTCTCGTCCTGTCGTTTTAGTTACCCATCATTTGGCAGATCCTTGTATGAGCAACTCCAGCTCTTCCTAGTCAGCTGCACAAAGCGACGTAGCGTGGATGTGCTGGTAGAGGAGAAATTGCCTGCCTGCTCGGGGATTTAAAACCCTCATCAGGTCTTCGTGGGTGTGTGCAGAAAGGCAGAGTGGAGGCTCACAAACTCATCTCTAGCTGTGTAAAGGCAAATTTGCACGATACCCTGATGTAATGTTTACAGCAGTCTGCGTCATCCGTACACCTGTGTAAAGTGGGATGTGTTCATAGGGCTGTCTTTAGGGCTTTCTTTGTGTATCCTAAAACACTGCCACTGAAAAGTTCAGGATACCATCAACCTAATTGATTAAGCCAGTCATATCTAATGGTGGGAGCTGAGCATACATACCCCAGTAATAAATAAACCTGACACAACCTATTGCAGCATGATTTTTTATCGGGTCCGGGAAGTTTGACAGCTCTTTTGGATGTAGAAAATGAACACTTCAGATTATGTATCAAACCATACATAAAAAGTGTGCTGTTTAACACTTTAATGGGTTACTATAAGTACTATTTACAGATTATTTCGGCTATCTCAGATGGTACACACTGGAGCTGTTACAGGGGTATCCTTGAGACCCTGCTGTCTTTGGTCTGTCCTCTAAGAAGACAAAAATCCTTTTGGAGTCAACCAAATTCTGCCTGTGAGTCATGTTCAGAGCCCACTAAAGTCAAGAGAGGCCTTTGCTTTGCGCTCCCTGGATTTCAAATCAGACCCAGGTGCACCTGTACTTTGTAGGGTGTTTTGTTTCCAAGAGATGCTGCGGGAGGAAGGGCTCTTAAACAGCATGACATCCAAAATTTTTGGAAGAGCATTAATGCATGTCTGTTAACAGAGCAAACCAAGAATTGTGCCACGTGGGGAACAGGGAACGTAAACGAATATGAATTCTCCAGGGTGTTTTGCTGCGAGGACAGTTACATCACAGGATAAAACCAATGGATTTTGGAATTACAAAATTCTACTCGCTCTGGCTCTCAGTAGGCACGAGGCTGGCTGCAGGAAGAGGAGCAGTCATTTAGTTTTACAGCTTTACCCTGAACTAAGACAGTTGCATGTATGTATGGCAGTACAGTGGAATTAAAATGTCACTCCTCACTGCAGTGAGTTTGTCTAAGTGGGGACATGCAGAAGCATCGAAGTGGAAACTAACTACGGGGGTGTAAAGTTGGTGGATGTAAGTCAGTAGGTTAATCCTCGGGTAGATATGCTCCTTCAAATGAAAAGTTTGCTGCAACTTAGTCATCCTACACACATGGACCTCACGCCTACGGATGATTCACTTGCTATTTCTGGAGAGTTCATGTCCAGACTTGGCTTGACTCAAGTCCAAACTGGTGTAAATTAATTACAAACTATGTGAGAGGTAGAGAGAGTATGTAAAAGGTGATGCAATTCAACCTTTGTCTTAACTTGACCCGTACCTTTTTCTACCTCGTGTTGTGTTGCACAGAATCAGGCTTGGAGTGTGTTTAGGGAGCTGCTGTAGTTGCATGCTGGTGATCCCGTTGCCTGGCTGCTGGCTTTTTCAGGAAAACGGAGCCTGCCGGAGCGACGCGGAGCCCACGATGATGTGCTTTAATGCTGATATACTTATGGAAGGCAAGGCCTGGAATTTCATTGTGGATTGATGGAGTAAGCCTGTGCATCCTAAAAAAGCATAGGGAAGATTAAAGGATGGAAACTTTTCTCCCCGAGTAGGAAACCCACGTTTAATTGAACTGGAGCTCCTTGTTACCTGACAACTGTGGAAAATGTCTCCAGCCATGTACTAGCTTTCCTTTACTGCATGCTTTGTTATTTTGGGTTTTTTTTTGACTGTCAGTTAGTTTTGAAACTTGGCAGCACTTTAAATGTGAAATTTGGTTGCAAAGAATGATGATAAAGTGTGGGGGGAGTGTGCAATGCAGAAATAAATAATGGTCGTACTTAATCACGTTAATGGCACCCACAGAAAATCACATTACACACACAGAAAAGTCATTCTTAAAAACCTTTAAAATTGCCTCTTTCTGGAATGCAGGTTTTTTTAGTGGAATTTTGCTCACCTTGTCAAAGGTCCTCCACAGCAGTTAGAAGGATTTCTCTTTGGGACTGTGCTCCACACCAACCTTAGGATGTGAGCGTGCATAAAAAAAATCTTTAAAGTTCTTGCTGGAAAGCCTTACAGAAGAGAGCTTTGAAGGGAGGACGTATAGGTGGAGCAAGAGGCTGTCCAGAAGCTGGAAAAGAGAGTGTCCTGAGGAAGTGGTGCTGGAGAAGCTGCAGGAGACATTTCATGGGTTTTCTAGAGAGGTGATTTGTGACAGGAGTGAGGACAGTGTCCAGATGGAGGTGACACGGAGTGGATTTCATCTTCAAGAACTTGCACAGTGTTTTAAGACTTTCTACATCCTTCTAGTCGTGTGACGAGCAGCCTCAGCGAAGGCTCCTAGATGTCCCCAGATGGGTACAATTTTTTTAAACTGCTCTACACTGTTAGGCAGCAGTGAAGATTGAGAATGCCAGCTTGATTTCTGGTACAAATCCTTTGATGGGAAATTTGTATTTGCTTTCCAAAAAGGACCGCCACAAAGCAGGAGCAAGTTTTATCTGCAAGAGGGCGGTGAGCATTTGCACGTGCTCTCTCTCTTCCTCTAAATACATTTCATGATGGAAATCCAAAGACTTTCTTTGGTCCAGAAGTCTTTTTAATTATCTGCAGTCCTGTGTACAACCATCAGAGAAGAAATCAGTATTCAGGATGCTGTGTCTGCTGAAGGAAGAGTGCTGAATTTGCGTGCTCTGCAACTTCCTTACAAAGAGGAGAGAGAAACTGGCAAAATGCAAAGTTAAAATCCCTCTGGGTATCAGTGGTCATTTACAGATAAGTGAATTTTGCCTTGTGTCTCCCTCTAATCACATGATTCTGATTTTTCTCTCGCTTACATTCATGAAAATACAGCGATTTGTGATTTTTCTCCTCGCTCTGATGTTTATTTCTGCTTCCATTTGTTGTTGGGGTTTTTTGGTCTTAGCTAACCATAATTTTTTTACAGACTTCAATTTTTACGTACTTCTTTTCCAAGAGAGAAAGCGTCGTTCCAAAAGACCTTCGTCATGGCCTCTTCTTCAGTGCTTTCTGGTTTTAAGCTGACATCATTTCTGCTCATTAAATGTAAATCATTTAAATGTAGGCTGGTTTAAGGACAGGATGCCAAGACTAGTGGGAGTAGCAGGACTCGTAGTAGGACTGGTACATGTACAGGAATGACACGGTTAAACCTCTCCTCACTGCTCTGGAAAAAAGCACGTCTGATCTTGTATTTAATGACTTGATGTGATGAATGGTGCCATAAAGCTCTCTCCTGTGGTAAATTGCTTGACAACACTGAAATTAAGAGTTATGTTGTTTTATCTAACGTCTGCCTGAACACAGGAAATAAAAAAGGAACAAAATCGAGGTAGGAGGGGGGGAAATCACTGTTATCTGATACATGAATATTTATAGAGATATTTTCAGCGAGCAATTAATTTTGCAGACTTCTAAACTAGAGGTTTAATCCCTGGCTTGAACAGTTTGCCTTCCTGTGATTGTTTTCTTTTTGAACCGTATTTTGATTTCTAAACTCAAGCGAGGTGCCAAGATCCAGTGGCATTCTGAGCGAGCCGTGAACGCCGAATATTTTCTGTCTGACAACTCCAGACAGACAAGGACTTCCCTGATTCCCTGATACTCAGCATGTCTTGGAGCAAGTCGATGTGAATGTTGTGCTTTATGTGTTACTACATGCCTGGCTTATCCCTGCTCACTGACCTGGTCTTTCTCTCTCCCTCTTCTCTCCACCCCCTCCCCGCTCCCTTGGTGTAGCTTTCGCTGCCGGAGGAACAGAATGAAGTAACGAGAAACGGCTGTGAATCCAAGGAACTGGTCTACCTTGTCCAGATCTCGTGTCAGGTAAACGCCACGTTTTCTCCCCTCGCCTCGTTTCGCAGGCTGCATTGCACTGGGTTTGGTAACACGGCCTCGGAATATTTCCATACAACCCTTTCCTGCGGCATGGAGTGGGTTTTTTCCCCACTTCCACACTAGCTCCATCCTCCAAAGGATGCTGTCTGTGGTGCTGCGACCGGCTCGTTTCCAGAAAAGAAAAAGAGGGGAGGAAAAAGGAGTCTGTTAAGCAAATAATCATAGAATCATAGAATGGTTTGGGTTGGAAGGGACCTCAAAGATCATCTAGTTCCAACCCCCCTGCCATGGGCAGGGACACCCTCCACTACACCAGGTTGCCCAAAGCCTCATCCAACCTGGCCTTGGACACTTCCTTGAATCCTGGCTAGAGCTGCACAACGAGGAGCCCGGAGACACAAGCGTGCGTGCTCCGACTGCGTGTACGTCCGTCAGTTGGGGGGGAAGCGTGCACGGACACACGGACACACCAGATGCACGGAGGAGGTACGTGAGGGAGGAACGCCGGCCAGCGTTTTTGTTGGTCAAGGCGTGCTGCTGGCAGCTGGGAGATGGAGGTTCTCAATCCGTTCCCAGTTAAGTCTCCAGACATCTGGTTTGAAATTCTTTCACTGCCTCTGCTACTGTGTTATCAAAATGCTTGGAGCAGAGAAATCTCCCAGTTTGTACCACAGCTCCTACGGCAATGGTGACTTCGTAAAGTGCTACCTAATAAGTTGTCGTGTTTTAATGCGTTGAATGCAATTGGTGTTGGTAGAAAACACCTTGCATTGACAAATTTGGTTGAGAGAGATTGAGCAATGCCTGCCTTTGGTCATTTCTCTGATCTTAGCACAGCAATTCTTTCCATCATTCATCTTGGCACTTCTTGAGCATCCATTTTGTCAAATTATGCCGAACATTCATGGGAATCACTGTGATGTCTGCCTCTTTTAGAGCCCTCGACGTGATTCTGCTGACATTTCTCAGGAAATGTATGGAATAGGCAGGCCTGTGTTGCCTACATGTGAATTGTCTGGAGTAGGGAAGTGTTTGCTGTCGGATTGTACCAGCCTAGTGCCGTTAGTACGCACGGAGAAGGTTGTGAAGTTGCAGTGTACTCGCTCTTCTGCCCTGCCTCCGTGTGCCCACTGGTGCAGGGTGTTCTGAGAGCCAAGGAGCGAAGCATCCTGCCCTGTTTCGAAGGTGGAGCCTGGCACAAGCTGATAGAAACACACAGAATAATTCCTCTCTGTTGTCAGCATGCACGTGTGTGTAAATGTACGTACTTATAAATAGTGCTCTTGGGAGGGGGAGGAGAGGCTGAAAGTGAGCATCATCAAAATTGCCTGTGTTTGGGCATTTTGCTCGTGCTGTTCTGACCCAGCTGTAAGCAGTTTCATAGAAAACAACCACTTTTCCGAGCAGGAATCCAAGCTGCCACGCAGCGCTGCAAAATTTGATGGTGGACACATGTCTGTGTCCCAGCCCACAGCAGTACAGTGAGCAAGAATGAGATTTTTCAGGGGACATTGGGAAATTGGAATTTCTTTATGTTTTTTGGGATTGCATTCACAGTGCTTAATGCAGAGATGAACCTCGTGTTCTTTCCTGACTATTTTGGGTGGGCCAATGTTTTATAGACCAGTTTTTCTCTAACCCTGAAGCATACCACTGATGATCTTTCTCCCTACCTTACGGTCATCTCTAAAGATTAACGGGACACCTTCAAGTATAGTTGTGTCCTCAAACCCTGCAGAATGTAGAATCATAGAATGGTTAGGATTGGAAGGGACCTTAAAGATCATCTATTTCCAACCCCCCTGCCATGGGCAGAGAAATCCTCCACTACAACATGTTGCCCAAAATATCCTTGTGCAGGAACAAGGTCCAGGAGTAGCAAATAGCCCGCGCGCAGCGTGCGAGGCAGTGATGGTGCACGGATCGAAGCGAGCCCGGCAGCTTCCCTGGCACTTCTGTCAGACTCTCAGGTGCTTTGCAGGGATATTTCTGAGAATACAGAGATGTGATGTGTGTGGGGACAACGCAGTGAGTTCTGTGCCTTGGCTAAAGAAGGGATTGCTTTGCAGAAAGACTTAACTGAGGTGCTGTCCAAAAGATCCGGAGGCTGTGAACCATCGCCAGCTGCTGAGAAGTTCTGTTACCTTCTTTTTCAGTGTTTTACTAAACTAAAACGCTGGGAGTTGACCTCACCACTTTAAAGGGTGGGCATAGAACCAGTCACCTTTTTTTTTTATTTATTTTTTTTATTAAGTAATCCTGCTGGCTCGCTAGGATTTCTCCCCACCCCGAGTCTGTGACTCACCTCTCGCGTGTTAGTCTACATCCCAGTCTCTCAGATACTTACAAAGCTGAGAAACTCCTGGCATCTGGATTCAATGAATGGAAAGGCATGGAAGGAGCTGCACAGCTGAGCATCGTTTCTACCATGGAGATACGTCACCCTTGACATCTCACGGCCTCTCCTAATGTCCAGGGAAAGATTCCGTTCTGTCACGCGTCGGATGCCAGCGGTGTCTGGATGGGTTTGGCTCCACATTAGAGTTGAATAGGAGGTGTGAAATAGCTCATGGAATGATAGTGCAGTGGAGAGAGATTTTGGCAGGACGCATCTGTATCAGGCCAAAAGTACTGAAGGAGGCAGAAAAAACCTGTAAAACAAATTTAGTTTTGCTCGTCTCTCGGATATGCTACTAGCATTGGTGTAGAGCCTACTGCAGCAGCTTGCAGGAATCTCCTAGATTTCTCAGGTGGCTGCAGAGAAGATGAATTCCCTTAATGAAGGCTAAACCCATATAAATTTAAACACTTTAAGACATTTGTGATTTGCTGCAAAATTGGCTGGCATGGTGAAGAGCAAGGGCGTTTGGCCGTCCTGGTAATTTTAGATCACAGACCTTAGAGAAATAAGCTAAAAAAACTTAGCTTTTGGTTGAATTTGGGGTTGAATGCTGTATACTACTGTGCCTTGCCCGGTTTGGACTGTACAGATACAATCTGTGTGTTGTGTGATCCATGAAAAGACATTTATTTTGTCATTTCACTCTGTAGCAGACAACAAGCCAAAGCTTTTGAACATCAGACTTTTAAAACATCCAGCTCAGTCTTAGCTGTGTTTGGCAGACTACAGTTCAGCATTTACACTAAGGAAATTCTATCTCCCATCCCTAAGTATAATTTTAGTGGTGTAAAGAGAACTGTTGTTTGATGCCTATTTTGCAAAACTTTCCCAGATAAGGTTTGAAAAAAAATTTTTTTTGAAGTTGTATTTGTGACACGTTTCTGCTGCAAGTCAGCTTGTGAAATACAAGCTTTGTTTGAGGTCAAAAGGGGTTTTTTTAAGTCTCTATATTCAGCTTTTCTTCTACTTAGAGACTTCAAAAAATTAATCCAGATTATTAGCTCTTAAAAAGAAGTGGGAAAATATAAAGAGCTGTTCCAAGTGTTTCTGAAAAGTTGAAAGATAGGATTCTTTTGATTTCTTTGGACAAATTTAAACAGGAAAACTAGCAAATGACAAAGGTAGAGTTTTAAATTTCATTGGAAAGAGCTGATGATAGGAGGATTTGGTTTTGTTAAAGACTGTTTTTATTTCTGTAGGAAACAGAGAAGGATAAAATCCTGGGAGGGGTGAAGTGAGGACTGTACCTGTGAACCTTGTGAGCTCTGTCAACAGTAATTGCAAGCCTTGACAATGACCGTGGGCCTTGGAGGACCACAGGGAATGTCTGGGACCTCGAGGAGTTGATGCTGTACCTGTAGGCTGTGGAGGTCCGTTGGCAGCGTTTGCAATCCTTGCTATGCTCCAGGAGGATAAGCAAAGAATTTACAAGGTCTGCAACACGTTTGAAAGGGGTTACTATGTGTGTTGAGAATAAATCAACAGAAGTAAGATCCTGCAGAAAGGTTGAAGTAGTCCAATCCACCCAGCGTGTTTTGTCGAGTTGTAAAATAGGCTGAAAATCTGCCTTTTTGTTGGGTTTGGCTTCATTTGTGTGACATTACAGCAGCAACTACCTGCATACGTATTTAAACTTTATAAAAGAATGGGCTGTCTAAGCTTTTGATCTGAAAAAATGAAAGAAAATTAATTACAGTGTGAGATTTGCACTACTTCAACACTGCAAACATCTTGGGTTTTTTTCTGAAATTTTGAATGACGAGGAGGGAACAAGAGAGCAGTTGTGCAAATGTTCTAGTTCTAAGGGAGACCTTAAACTCCAGCCATCTCGTGTGGATTTTGTTGTTCATTTCCATTATCAAAGGTAGGTGTTTGAAACAGAAATGGCAGACCATGCAAGCACAAGTGATTTTTTAAAAACCTTAGGACTAGATCTCGTGATAGACCCTTAAACATAGACAGACTGTTGTCCTGCTTTTCATGGGATAACGCCAACATCCTGCAAAGGAAGCCTCTTTCTGCCACAACTTAGGTAGATTTCTAAGGCTGTTCTCGAAGCAGGATGCTCTCGTGGTCCAAGCATGGGTTTTCTCCATTTTTCTGCTCACATTTGCACACCCCACACTGGCAGTGGGTTGAGCCACGGGGCTTTGTTGTACAGGATGCACAGTACTTTGCCCTGTTCCTGTTTTTTGTTCGAGGCAGCCGTTGCTGTGTTCCTTTTGATGGATAGAATAAGGTCTGTGATGTACTAGATGAAGGCGTTTGCGCAAATGTATGCCACTTGTACCTCCCAGCTCTGCCTTGCAGGAGATCCAAGCTGGGTATCTTCTGTTGGAAGAAGAGGATTTGCAAAGCTCTGGAGGCCACCCCTTCCAGCGTTCCACGGCCGGAAGCGTGGTTGCAATAATAAGTGCTTCAAGGGCAGCGGGGAGAATGCCAGGAAAAAACGGGATCCAAGTAGGAAGAACAGACAGGACTCCCCATCCTGGGTGGTTTGTGGGGAGAGGAGAGTGGAATATATTTTCACAGAAGCAAATGTCTTACTCAGACTAGTAACATCTAAAGTATGATTTGCTGGTTCTGT